GGGTTACAGGAAAAAGCTCGCTCTTTTTCAGTTCTAGCAAGCCAGTCTGAACAAATAACAGACGGAGCTTATATACCCTATTCAATATATGCTACAGGTAAAAGCTTAAGTATGTTGGGACAGAATTGAGAGATAAGTGATTTGAGGGAAAATGGTGGACACAGAGATGTGCAGTTTGGAATTAGGACAGTTATTTTCTTTGGACAGTCCATCCTGAAAAGCTTTAGTATGAGTCGCCAACACTCACATGGAATTTAAAAAATGCCTACATAGATACATTTGGGATAAATTGATGATCATTGAAAGAGAGTTGACTGGCAGGTCTCAGCAAACATGATGTAAAATTAGCTTTCAGCTTCCTAAGAAGGTTTACAAAAACAGAGATAAGGCAGTGCGTGCTATAGTTCTTCGTGGTATTTCACAGGGAGCGACAGACACTCACCAGAGAATTACCGATGCTTTAGGACGGCTGTCTTAGCCGGGTCTCCCGAGGAGACTGCCTTTCCGAATGAGGCCAAGGCGATCAACGCACACCACAGCCACCTGCGGCTCAGGAGGGAAACAACTCTTTTGCTGCTCCTGAAACGTTTGGTTGGATTTCCGCATAAGAGACTCAAAAAGGAGAGACAGGAGGTGTTGGGTTTGTTTTTCTTTCCTTGGGGGAGGAAAAAGGAGGAGGGTGGGTGGTTGTATTCCACCCCGACCCCTCCCACAACCTCCTGGTTTTATTCCTAGAATTTAGACAGGATAAAAATATTGCACAAAGGTACACATGAGCCTGTCAGAGAGATCCAATTCACATGTAAACACTGTGTAAGGATATCGGGATGTAGGAGGAATGTGAGGAACTCTGTATAAAAAAACCTCTTCTTTATTTACTGGGGAAAGGAAAACTATAAAGGAGAAATTCAAATGTACCAGGAATTGCAACTGAAGAAGAAACAAACCAGATTTTCTTGACAGCATAGTCATCAATGCTGTTTCAGCTACACTTTTATTTTAATGTGCACATCATTACGTGCTACAGCCTTGAGAAGTACCCTGTTGAGATGCTGACCTTAAAAATAAATGATATGAGGCTAAATTTCTGCTATAAATCCAAATTAAAATATTTTTGTAAATATAGTATATCCCGGTAAACATTTCTAGACTTGAAATTCATTAGATGGAGCTCAGAATATTTCAGGTGGACAATACATATTCAGAAAAATCTCAATGTAAATCTACTTTACCAACCCTTCAGTTGATTTACGGGGAATTATAAACCACAATGATTCCACAACTGGTTACACAATGAAAATTTTACACATGAGAAATGCCAAGAAGTCCACTTGGAGTTCCTAGAATCATTGGCATAAGGGATAAATAATTAAAATAAAATGCATGCTACAGGACTGAAAGCCAGGTTTACACTAAAAACATAATCTGTTCACATACCTGTTAATTTTTACAAACGTTCCCAAAACCTTTGAATGGAAAGAGAGTTTTAAAAGTAGTACAATATCACAGAAGTCCTCGGGAAGCTGCGCTCAGTCTCTTAGCAGGGATTCGAACTCTGGCTTGCTCTCCTGCCGTATGTTCTGTTTCCCCCTGGGACTTTTCACACAAGCTTTTCGGTCCCTTACAAACATTTTTTCCTTTCAAAATACAAATCAACATTCCCAGATACTTGCAACAAGTATGCTTTCAGGTACAAGGCTGTAAGTTTAGTGTCAGGCCTTCGCCCCAATTCACACGGAACACGTACTGACCTCTTTACTTCGTTTGAGCCACGAGGGCTCTTTACAAAGGTTCTCGCACAACTGGGAAACATCAAGCCAAATTCTGCCTTCACCGTGTGTTCAGTTAAGAGCACTTGTCAGCAGCAGCTTGTTGTCAGCTTTGTGCTGGTTTAACAGAACAAGCCCTGTCCTCGGCGTAATCAGAGTTCTAAGAAACAGAGCACTGCATTTCCCAGTAGCAACAGTCAGGCTGAACCTGAAAGAGGACAGAGAGAAATGAAGTATTTCAAATTCAGAATTATCTGTCCAGAACTGGGAAGAGATACCCTTAATAAAAAGTCATTCAGGGTATTGAAGGGGATTAAAATAAATTAAGCCAAGTTTATTTCTAATCATCAGTGAATTCTGCAAATTCCACTCTGCGCCAGGGACATCAGCCTTCCTGCAATCACTGTCTTCCTGCTGGAGGCTATGTTCAGAATCTTTTAGATTGCACTGTACTTCCTCATTTGCTATTTAATTTCTTCATAGATCTAGATAGTGCTTTTAGCAGTCTAGATATTGAAGCTTCAGATAGAAAAATCTCGGTTGGTACTGAAACATATGCCATATTGAAGTATTATTCTTCTTTCAAAAGATGAATTCTCTTACCAGGTGCAGCACACATGTTTTTCCACAAGTTGTTTGACAGGTTTGGTCATCATATTGAACACATTACTGAAGCTTAAAAACTCCGAAAGACAAAAACCTAATTTGATTTTATTTCTGAACAACAGTCAGTTCATCGCATGAGGGATGCGCCGTGTTCAGGAGATAGTGCAATACACAGGATCTTCAAAAGATGAAAATCCGAGAGGAGATTAGCTGAGACTTCCCCCATGGTCCAACATGATCTTGTTGAGCAGGATTTTATAGAGGGCAGCTCCAAAAGTACCATTTATATTTGCTGCAACTCGAAGTCTGTTACAGACAGAAGGGACTAATGAACACTTTGAAAAGTGGCAAAACAATTTAGATGACACTGCCACAGAGTGGCGATAGGACTTACGGTGAAGTTAAGAATTTTGGAACCCAGGACCTCAACCTGGAGAACCCCAACCCAAATCCCCACAGGTCCATTCATATTTAGATTCCACTGCTGTCAGGTGTTTTTGTGGAAAAGGTCCTACACTTAAATAATAAGCTAATGTTAGTAATCAAATTTTAAGCCAGTAAAGCAGTTGCTGATGATCTTGGTCTGCCTTCATATAGATGTAACTTGGGTGTAATGCAAATTTCTCAGAATTAACAGATTTTGAGACAAGTCTTTAGATATGGAACCCAACTGACTTTATTATTTCCTAGCATCCAGCCATTTTAACAATTCTCCCTTGTTAGCACAGCCAAGGAAGTGGTTTTCAGGTTTGGGAACAAAGAAATGGAATTACATAAGATTAACCACCTTGCTGGTGTACCAAATGAGGACACTCACAACAGAACAATTTCAAATGCCCTGTCATCATTCCTCTTTATATTGAACTTCAGTGTAATTCCCTCCCCCAATATTTATTATTTCCATAAAAGGGTAGATTAAAACAAAAGCAAAAACTATGCATAAAATTAAAAAAACAACCAAACAAAAAAAAAAAAATCAAAGCACATTTCCAGATTTGGTGTTTCACAGAAATTATATAGACTATTAATACAACAAATCAACATGTTTGCTTCAGAATTTGATTGAGAAAAAAATTAGATTTTCCTACCATTTACTTATCAATGTAGGACCCGCAAAAATCTTTGCTTGTAGTAAGAAAGCAAGGTGGTTGGCAAAATTACACATTTGTTTGTTGCTTTCTGTACTGCAAAGCAATCATCCCCTCTTCTCTGAAGTCCCTGCAATTCATTATTCAAGGAACACCACAGACTAATGGTCTTAGTTAATAGGAAGGAAAAAAAAAAGTCTTCATCCTAAACTGAAAAACAGAAGTCCAAAAAGAGCTATGGAGAGACTTTCTGACAGAGCTAAAACATTGTTTTGGACAAGATAAAACACAGTATTTCAAAACAGAAGATTTGTAGCTGTGTCAACAATAACAAAAAAAAAAAACCCTGACCTTCCTTCAACTTGGTCCTAAGATTACATTTAGGCTCAATAAATAGATGTTTTCAAGTGTTTTCCAATCAAGCTCCAGCTTGAGGCCATATCAATTTAAAGCGTAGGTGGACACCAGTTTCCCCTCAGACCCCACATGCTCACCCCTCAGATCCCCATCAGTCCACTGGTCCAGGTGGGTTTTTGTTATCCAGCCTTCCAAGCAGCAAGCCAGGGTTCACAGGATGGAGTCTAAGGTGGTCAGAACTGGCATATGGAAAAACCACAAGAAAAGTCGCTTTCTTCCTCAGCCGTGCCCCTCCCAAACCCCACAGCCCTACCTGGCAGTTAGGCATCCATGAATCCAGAGGACCAATTACCTCTGCCCAGCTCTTCTTTTTAATATTTACTTCATGTACAGCATTACATGGTCAAGCCACCTCCATAAAGAGCTCTTAATAACCCTAACACCAGGCTTCCAGCCAGGAGACCGATCATTTTCATTAAGACCCAAAGAAAACAAGGTGAGTTGGGAACGCTGCATTCTCAAAGGGATCTAACACAGTGACATTCCCTAGCACGAAGCTTTTATAATCCAAAAGCAACAGGCTTTCTGGCCAACCAGAGAATCGTATTCCTGACTTTGTATTAACTAGTCAGTGTGTGTAGTGGAAAATATCTGTCTTAATTCAATAAAAAAAAAAAATTCAAGTAAGTCCCAGTAGTCAAACCAGAGGTGTACTGCCCACTAATGCCCGTGCTAAGGAGAATATGTTCCTCTCAACAGAAGGTACGTTCAAAAGTAACACCGCTCATCTTGTGACTGAAGAGACTACATAAACAGGTAACAGCAACACGGGGAGCTGTGTCAAAAACAATCTTTTGGACCATGTCGTATCTTTTAAACTGAAGAATTTAAAAAAATAATTAGAAAAGAGCCCACTCTGGAACTCTTCTTTGTAGCCTATCCCTTCAGGACACGAAGACAAACCATTTTCAGAATACACCAAATTTAAGATGGTCTTTAAGGCACTGTTTGCAACATTTATGGAAAAGGACATGCGAAAACAGAGTGTATTACAATATATAAATAGAGCTGGAAAATTGTAATTGAATGTGAGGTTACAAGAGATGTTATCTCCCTTTTCCCTCTCCTCTTGCAGGGCTTCTCTCATTCCATTTGACCTCATATTCCATCCCTGGAGGAATTACATCAAGACCGGATCCCCAATGCCATGGTCTGGGTTGCAAGTGAAGGAGATGGTGATGGCATAGCGAGTGCCCCAGTGAACCTTTTCCACCCGATGAAGGTTCTCCGATCCAGAGGTGAAAAAGGAAACCCGGCCTGTAAAGACAAAGTATTTAATCGGTGACACGGACTTTGCCACTCAGCTATTAGCTCTCTACACAGTTTTACTGTTGTCTCAGTCCAACTGTTCCCAGGCTACCTGAGAGCCCACAGGTCATCACAGAGACAAACTGTTACAAGCTTCTGCTGCACTCTGACAGCTTTATGTACTGTTTAAAACATACATTAATCCTTTCCTTTGTGCTACAAAGCTGGAGACGTAATTCCACCATATCTCATAGTTTATAAAAGGCAGGAGGAAGCCAAGAACATCTGAGGCCAGTTCTTAGTTGCCTCAACATAAAAAAAAGCATGCAATTTTAGTGAGTGTCAGCAGAGTGTATTTCCTCCCTGCTCCCCTTCTAGTCTGGGCTCTAGTTTTAGACCAAAGAAGGAGAAAGTACCACCAAGGTGGCAAAAAGTCTTCAGTGAAGAAATGCTCAGCAGGTTTACAAGCAGCTGTGGCAGCTTATCAGCATTGTACCAAGTATTTGCTATAGCTTTTTGTGCAGAGTCGGATCACTCCCTGTTCAGCCAGGTTAGGAAGTTGTGTGTCAGGCATATACAAATTACTTTTCCTTAGAAAGAGCCACTACATCAATGCATTGGCCTGGAAATTGTTTTATAGATGCAAGTGCTCGCTCCTGTGCTTCATCCCATCCAAGCTTTGACCACCACCCTGCCTGGGTCTCCAGGCCTTAAGTGGCATCAAGGTGAAACCCAGTCACTTTCATAACGACAGCAGAGGTAGATTAGCATCCCGCTTGAAACAGCAGAATGGAGCCCTCTGCACTTTAATAATATTAAACTGTTCTGAGAATGGAGAAAGTTTGATGTTTAGCAAGTAACTCAAAACTGACACAACTCTGTAGGACTGCTCACGTTCTCCTGAGAAAGCCAGAAATGCTCATAGGCACAGCTGTTTTAGCCCAATAGCGTGTGGTTTTCCTACTCAGGCTTTTTTCCCCACTGTTCAAATTAGATTAAAGTTTGTTAAAAAGATTACAACAGGGAACTCATATTGACAATCTAACTCTGCTTGGGACTTATTCACCATCAGGCAAAACGAACCACTTAGATGCCTATTTAAAATTTGCACAACAATAAGATAAACTATTCCAACCACTACACAATCTCCACTGCAGAGACAGGCACCAGCTGCGTAGCTGGTTTTCTCTTCTAAAAGTGATCCAAAAGATCCAGAAGTTCGCTTGCATCCTCCCAAGCGGCACACACGGAAGACTTGAACAAAACTGGACTGGCCTTATGGAGTTCAGTTTACCCACAAATCTCTGCAGTCTATTTGAGCAGCCCCTCTGTCCTTTGCACATTCAGTTCCAGTTCACATTTAATCTTTCATAGTTCACAGTCTCTCGTAACTGCCAAGCAGAAGTCATGTCATACTCTTCTCTGCCCGTGGTTGCATGTGAACAATTGGTAATGCTAGATATAAAAAAATAGATTCATTTATATGCACAGCTCATTTACACCTTGGTGTTCTGCTTTTCTGGATGAAAGACTAAATGAAGGCAATGTCCTCCTATCCTGAGTGTTGCAGTGAACAGCGCAACCCTCAAGGATTTCACACAAAGTCCCTTTGTCATGAATTTTTTTTTTCTTTTAAATCTTATTTCAACATCATTCAAGTACTTTATTATCAGTCCTTCATCTGCTCACCCAAAGCTTTGCCTTAAACTGATTTTCAAGCTTTTTTTGTTTGATCTCTTATTAGAAGTCATAGTGATTCAAAGTTAGACAAGTTTCAGTGTATTGTTTAAGCCAGTTAAACTAGATTTTTTGGCTATACAGAATGCCTTTTAATTTCTTTCTTTAATAAATATGTCTTCATATATATGGTATCTTACAGCTCCTTGTTCATTTGGTCCTATATCCGTCAACTGGGGTCTCCGAGTCACTGAGCAAGCCTACAGTCAGTTTTCAAAGATACTTCTTCCTCGCATGGAATTTCTTTTAAACTAACTTCCATTGCAAACTTTTTTTAGCAAAAGCTCTCCATGGTACGCTATTTTTACTGGTATAATGTCCAAGAAGAGGGTAAAGAATGTTAATTCCCATCCCATCTGACAAAACCTTCAAGGAATATTTGGCAATATCATTATCTAGAGACTCCTGGGGAAAAGACACGAGATAAAGCTGTATCTTAACTGGACAGGATGACTTGCAGGACTTTCAAGCACACCGAGACCGGACCCTTCACAATCTTGCTTCAATACACAGAATATGGAAACCACTTCAAAAATTAAAACACTACAAGAAAGCAAGCAGGTCAGGACTAAGCAAGTTCCTTAAGAAAGCGCGCACCTACTCCTAGGTTACAACCTGTCTTTCTTCTAGCCATTTTTTGATCAATTTTAAGTTCAGATTTTAAAGCCCAAAGTTCCAAACTATAAACCCTATTAACAAGTTAGTAGGATCATATGCAATATGGCTCTGGTTTTAGCTGCAAGATTGCATTCAAAGTGTTTAAAGTGCACTTTAAGTGTTACACACTGCCACAACCAACGTAGCTGTGACAGGATTTCTCTCATCACGAGTGGTGAGGAAGACACGCATAGGGCAGTTCCACTGAGCTCCCCAGGCTACAAAAGATTGATAGAGTGAATGCTGAGCTTCATAAGAGATTAGTGTTGTACTACAAATGCTAAAGAATGGCTCTGCAACTGTTCATTGCAGATAAAAGTATATATGTACTTACAATTTCCTGAGGAAACATTTTTGATCTACGGAAGCTCATGAGAAAGTGTGTAAAGTTCTAATCCCATTTCCTTTGTCCTTTTCTTTATTATTTAATGATGGCCTCAAATCGGTCTTTTAATTTTCTTTTCCCCTCCTCTGACCTGCCTGCGCAGATTTTTTTTCCAACATGCTTTTGTGCTCCACTAAAGACATCTTGACTAGTACCTCCTGGCACATGATTTCAGTTTGATGTATGAACACTTACTGGTAAAAGCATAACCTTTTTTGAGATCACAAGCTACTACCCAATACAATCTTATAGTATATTATCTAACCTAAAAAGAGAAAGTGCTTAATCCCTGATCTTTAAGGGATGAACTTTTGGAGAGAAAGAAAGAGCAGAGGGATCACCTGCTTTGAGGCCATGCTTCCAGGCTGTCAGAAAGAGGCCAATCTCTGAGCTACGTTCTGAAGGATCAAGATTGGAACGGAGGTGTCCTGGGGTCAGAAGTGATGCCAAGGGTAAAAAACAAAGGATTTGGGTTTTGCCACTTAAATAAATTTTTGGTTTTAAAAGTATTTAATCCTGATTGTGAACATTTGATTCATTTTCCCCAATCACTGCAAGATGCCAAAACCTCCATTGCTTCTTTAATTTCCTGATGCTTTAACTAGTACTGCAGCCTCAGGGAAGAGTTTTAGATCCGTAAATTACAAGGTACGGTGGGCTGCCCCCTCACATCTACTATCTATCATCTCCTTCTCACCTCTGCTTTCCATTCCACGAGAAGCCGATCGGACAGAGCATACCACAGCCATTAGTGCAGAACACCAGAGCATTTAGTGCTTCTAACACTTGGACATACAGCCCCCATGTTAGATAAAAATACATTTTGTGGGCACTTCTATCCATGCTCTTTCCTCTTTTCTGCCCACAAACACTTAAAATTTCTTTATAGCTGTTCCCAAATGGCTTCAAGGTTTCCATCAGGCTGTCTAGTAATAGGGGCGTGAGCTGTACTCCAGCCTAATTCCCATAGAAGAGTGCCACATTGGACTGGAGGAAGTTCCTCCGACACAAATGCACTTGTTCCCACCTTTCTTATTAGAAGAGCAAAACACCAAAGAATTGCAAAGATTTGTGGTAACCTCAAGACCCACAAGAGCCTGTTTCTACATGATTAGGTTGCCTGCATATCTCTACAGGAACAGAAGCAATCAACCCTTGCCTTTGAGCTGTTTGACAACAATACCTGAATCTACAGCTTGTTTTCTCTTCCTTTCCATGTTTTCTCTACTTTCCAGTATTAAGTGCTAGAAAGTGTGTTTCAAGTTGGAGTTTGGTCCAATAAAAGCTTAGCTGATGAGCTTCTGCTCCTTGCAGATTGCAGAGAGTGTTATTGTGATGCAGTCGCTCCCCTTTCCAGTTCACAGATACGCCTCCAGCTCTGCTTCTGTACTAAGATTAGTCACGAGTTTCATCCACAGGTGGAGCTGCTTCTCAGTCCCTTCTTTCTGTGGCCCTTAAGAATCCGCACAAGTTTTTAAAACATTAAAGAGAAAGCAAAGGGTAAATTGTATTGGGGATGAAAGAAGTAAAGTCACGGAAAACTCAGGTGCAAACTCATTGAAATACACCACTCTCTCACACTGACTCAGGACAAGGAACCGCTAACAAGCTCAGCGCCACAGCATCCATCAAAACTGAGCCCGGTCTTCGGGGTCACAAACACAAGCCAAGCTCTTAAATGCTGTCAGGCTGAGAAAAGCTTGTGATGTGAAAAACAGCAAAGGTCTTGCTCCTCTTACAGGGAGCAAGACCTTAATCGCATTACAGGTAACCACTTACTCTCCTGATTTTTGAGAATCAATTTTTGTACTGATCCACAGGAATCATTATTTATGAAGACATACAAGTGCCAGTCACAAGCTCCACCACTATGAATTTTATGTGATCCTAATTTAGATGAAACAACACAGTTACTTTCAGGAATAATATTAACAAGATGTTATGTCCCATTAAAGTACCCAAACAAAATCACTAGAGGAATATATGTATTAACTATGAGCTTTTGCTTTTCCCTGCTTTCGCTTTCTCAGGTTTAAATCACATCCATACATACCCCTTAGCAAAGAATTCTTTTTGGATGTACTTAGAAAATATATCCACTGCAAGAAGCGGTGTACAGGTAAGAGAATTATGCGTTCAGCTATATATGGCAGTAAAAACATAAGTATTCCCACAAGGCTTGCTCTCAGGAGATTTTATCTGTATTGAATTTTAACATTCAGTTGCGCTT